ATGATTAAGATACATATTTGTATAATGTACTTTGTATGAGATATAAATATTAAAGGATCAAAGTCAGCCATACTAATGTCCTAGACAACATAATCAGAGGTATAATATTTCATATTCATGGTTGTAGGCCACAGGCAGTTCTTAACTAGCCCTACCTATATTTTAGAGGTAAACATTGAAAATGTTCACTAGCCTTAACATAGGATCTGCTGGCCTTGGGCGTTAGGCTATTGTAACTGTATGACGTAGTAGGACCCAGAGGTGAATTCATCAAACTGCTCTCACTCTCCTACTGAAGTCATATATCTACTCAAACTATGTTTCTTTTTTGTTTGTTTTTTAACTTTTGTAAGTCACCAATATCTCCAATGTGAGAATGATATTTAGCTACAAGTACCTAACTTATAATTTGTAACTCACCGCATTCTTTAACAAGAGACTGATATCGAGCTACAAGTACCTAACTTTTGTAACTCACCAATTCCTTTTACACGGGACTGATATCGAGCTACAAGTACCTAACTTTTGTAACTCACCAATTCCTTTTACACGAGACTGATATCGAGCTACAAGTACCTAACTTTTGTAACTCACCAATTCCTTTTACACGGGACTGATATTCAGCTACAAGTAACTATAAGATTTAACATTACATCAAATTTTAAACTTCTTTCTCACAGGGATCTGAATTTGAGTTTGAGGACAGTTTTATGAATATAGACCAAGATCAATGGTCTGTGCTGCACCTGTCAGTGCACCAGTGCAATCTTACACTATACACTGAATACATTGCACTGAAGTGGGATTCACCTTACCATTGATTCCTGGTCTAGATGCACACATTCCAATCAGTAGAAAACACACAAGCATATTTATTTAGTGCAGAAAGCATCTACATGTGAATGCTGTTTTTCTGTCAATGTGTATGTGGAGTCAATTAAAATTGATGGTGCTTAGCTCTCTCAGCACTATGCAAATACTTGCCTAGGTGTTAAAGTGTGTACACCTGTCTTAGAGCAAGAACGTACCTATACTGTAGTTCATCACCTCTTATAATTAACATTGTAGTACTTGTGGAACTGGTTCGTTAGCCGGCAACCAGGTAGCTAAGTTGGTAGAGCATCTGTCTAGAGTTTGGAGGGTCCTGGGTTGGAATCCCAGTTGACCATGCATTTCTTTTTCTCCTGTTACAATACATTACCACAAGTTCACTTGCTATCAGCTGAGTTGTACAGCTCTGACGGGCATGTGAACTGGACCAGGATGGGTAGGAGTGAAGTTATGTAAATACATGTCGCTATCAAAACCTACAGGCATGTGAACCGGACCAGGATGGGTAGGAGTGAAGTTATGTTAATACATGTCGCTATCAAAACCTACTCGTGGCAACAATAGTACTTCTGTAACAGGGGTGAAAACCAATGAACCGAGTAATGGCCAGACTGGAATTCAAACCAAGGAATCCAAACTGTAGATGGATGTTCTATCAACTGATAATTCTGGTCGCCAGTTAAAATCCCAATCCAGATCTGTTATATTCTTGCCTTCTGAATTTTTGCTCCTGAAGACATTACAAAATGTCAGATAAGATTTTCAGTTAATGTTTGTGCTTGATAAGCACACTCGTGCTTGGTTCTTATAATAAAACTTGGTCTTGGGCACAAATTTTAACAGGAATGGAGAAATGTAATGGCAAGATTAGGAGTGAAACAGAGGTTTTCCAGTCTCAGATGTTCCACCAACTTATATTAGCTGTCTTGTCATCTGTAATCAACCAATTTCATCTCCAAATTTAAAAACCAGGGAATTAGATATCTATGTGTGTTTGTAAATACCCTTAACTTACATGGCGTCTTCAAATCTCAGCTATTTGTTGACATCCCGTATACACATGTACCTGATTTGAAATTGATGAGAGGTATACCTGCTCGACTATTTAACGACCTGGTGTACAACTGTAATATCCATTAACGACCTGGTGTACAACTGTAATATCCATTAGCAATATATCTGTCATGTTTATGTATTTTTCTGAAATGTTTTTTTGCATTCATCATTAAATAGGTTCTGCAAACATTCACTGTTAAAAACCATTACCCTTATTTTCCTAGGGAGATTTGTTGTTAGGGTTCCGTTAAGGAAAAAATAAAATAGTCCTGCAGGCAAGACTCATTTTAAAGCTGTAGGTCTCATTTCTCAATTTTCAGAGAAGATCTCCCTGTGTATGTAGAATGGTGTAAGAGCATAATATCTATGGATGTATATGTACAATGGTATTACTGCAGAACTAATAAAATAGATGGAGCAAGTAGTGAATATTATTGTTTTGAGATATTATCCTCAGCTGTGAAATAATGGACAGGCTTAATACTGAGAATGTTAACATTTATATCGCAGATAATATATATTAATATAACACGATACTATCACAGGTAATATATGTCAATATAACATGATACTAGGGATGTATATATCACAGGTAATATATGTCAATATAACATGATACTTCCGATGTTTATATCACAGGTATTATATGTTAATATTATATGATACTACTACCGATGTTTATATCACAGGTATTATATGTCAATATAACATGATACTTCCGATGTTTCTATCACAGGTAATATATGTTAATATAATATAGTACTACCGATGTTTATATCATAGGTTTTATATGTTTAAATATTCACGATACTGGACAACATACCTCATCAGGGAGATTCAGTCACAGATATGATATACAAAATTTACAACATGTACTTTCAATAGAGAAAAAAAATCACATTATGTTAGTAAAAAATCTTATACTTAATCTGTGATATAAAAGAGTTTGATCAATAGAATTACGGTATGTAGATTTTCAATTAGTTTAAGCTGTTTAACAGCTCCTATCTATGCTAATTAAATTCCATGTGATACCAGTGGTACATTTGTCGGTGACACCTGATCAAACTTCATCAATGCCAGACGGACAGAAAGGTGTAACAACCAGGATTTTATAGCCATCAATAAAAAGGTCACGGAGTCCAAATGGATAATATGTCTGTTCAAATTACATTTATTTTGGTCTTTAAAGAGATTAATCTTGTGTGTGTAATTAACTGTATTTATGATGAGATCTGTGGTCCCATAAAATGTACTTTCTAGTGACACTAAGGAAAGGAGTTTAGAGTGTGACAGGATTTTTTTCGGTGTAACTCTGTCACCCAGATCCTGTCCAGCTTATACTAATCTACATGATTTAAAACTGCCAACATGAATTAAAAGTGAGAGACGTGCACACACCTAATCATGTTCAGATAGAAACATTGTTAATTTGCATACAAGCACAGTATATATAATGAGTTCCTGGGTTGTGTCATTGTACCTGTGTACCTTGAACACTGACGACCAGTGTCTTAATTAGATGTCACTTCTGTCAGGACAGAACATGTCTTTTATGACATCACACCTTCTCTCAGTCAAACTTAACTGGAGAGACCACACCTGCTGTCTCTACTAGACCATCCCTGCTGTCTCTACTAGACCACCCCTGCTGTCTCTACTAGACCACCCCTGCTGTCTCTACTAGCCCACCCCCTCTGTCTACTAGACCACCCCTGCTCTCTCTACTAGACCACCCCTGCTGCCTACTAGACCACCCCTGCTGTCTCTACTAGACCACCCCTGCTGTCTACTAGACCACCCCTGCTTTCTCTACTAGACCACCCCTGCTGTCTCTACTAGACCACCCCTGCTGTCTCTACTAGAAAATTTGTTTTAAAGGATTTTGGCCACAATATTTCACAATTTCATATTTAACAGTCATATGATGCAATAATATGTGTAGTGACCGTGACCCAGTCTCTCTCGGTACTCAGATGATGGACAGGCCAGGTGACGGCCCATCTATATCAGCCTAGTGAATATGCATATTTTGAACGGGGTACAAGGTCACATGCTTTGTGATGGCATATAGTGGTTGATTTTGCAACATCTTGTTCAATACGTGTACCCTTTCTGACATAAACATATACCTGCATAACAATGTTAGTTTATCCTGTCTGCCTGTGCAGTGAAATTTGCAGTTAGGGACTATCTCTTCAGTCAGTGAAGTAAACCTGTCTATAGAGACCATCCCATGTGTCAGAACAGTAAAAGCCTTCTGGAGAACCACACTCTTTACACACTACAATTAATTTTGTCTTCAAAGACTACCCCTTCTGGCACTACATTACACCTGTCTGGAGAGACCATCTTTTCTGTCAGTATAATATATCTTGCCTTTAGGGCCACCTATTCTGTCTGTACAGTAAAACCTGTCTAGAGAGGCCATCTCTTTTGTCAGTACAGTAAACCCTGTCTAGAGAGGCCACCTATTCTGTCTGTACAGTAAAATCTGTCTAGAGAGGCCACCTATTCTGTCTGTACATTAAAACCTGTCTGGAGAGGCCACCTTTTCTGTATGTACAGTAAAACCTGTACAGAGAGGCCACCTCTTTTGTCAGTACAGTAAACCCTGTCTAAAGAGGCACCTCTTTTGTCAGTACAGTAAACCCTGTCTAGAGAGGCTAAATATTCTGTCTGTACATTAAAACCTGTCTAGAGAGGCCACCTCTTTTGTCAGTACAGTAAACCCTGTTTATGAGAGGCCACCTATTCTGTTTGTACAGTAAAACCTGTCTTAGAAAGGCCATCCATTCTGTATTACAGTAAAACCTGTCTAGAGAGGCCACCTCCTTTCTCAGTACAGTAAACCCTGTCTAGAGAGGCCACCTATTCTGTCTGTACAGTAAAACCTGTCTAGAGAGGCCACCTCTTTTGTCAGTACAGTAACACTTGTCTAGAGAGGCCACCTCTTCTGTCAATTGATACAGTAAAACCTGTCTAGAGAGGCCACCTTTTTGTCAGTACAGTAAAACCTGTCTAGAGAGGCCACCTCTGTCATACTGTTATACTTGTGTTTAGAGACCATTTGGTGTATGGTTATTGATGGTCATTGTTCTGACTCTCCACAGGTTCACAGATGTCCACCATTACATGAAACCCAATGATGACCGTGGCCTCAGTCTGATGACCAAGGCAGCACAGTGTGTCCTGGAGGAGTTCAAGGATGTTGTCATGGCATACGGTCAAAGTGACGAGTACAGTTTTATCTTCAAGAAAAACACCAAAATGTTCAACAGAAGAGCGAGGTAAGTGGCACACATCAGATGATGTATTTGTTGTTACGAATTTGAATTGTATTATTATCAGACTCTTTTTAGTAATTGTTGTGTAGAATTTAAATTGAAATATCATCAGACCCTGGTTAATATAGGGGTGAATACATAGCATTACTAAAACATGAAAAGAATCCTTCGATTCTGCCGACAAGATATAAAGTCTGGATCTTGTGTATATTCCTATTGCAAATTAGATAAAAAAAATCTTAAAAAAACATGGCAACTTTAATGTTACCTGTTATTGTGTATCATGAACACTTCAACATCATGTATATACCAGTATATTAGCGGTTTTGTAGTTACCGCTGATGTATTACTAGTTACTAATTAGTAGGACAGTTGGTAATTATTAAAAGTGACCACTATTACTGAAATAACTGTGAATGTTAGCACAGTCGGTAGATACCGAGGTATCTGTTAATGCTAGTCTATTTGACATGTTACCACTGGTACTAGGGTCGGTGAAATGTTAGAACATCTGATACATAACTACTAGTACTGGGGGAATTGTGAGTACCAGTACAACATTAGTATCAGGTGATTCAAGTTTACGATTTAACTTAAAGCTTATATCAAAAAAATCTTTTGCAGATATGCATGTTATATTGCTCTGTGTTTTTAAAGGTAATAAGTTTCTGTGTAGATATCTCATCTAGATTGAAATTTAGGTACGTGCCTACATACATTGTGCTTTTACCTTGAAAGGGATTTACATGATTTCAACGAGAAATTCACCGACAGATACAATCTCGTCCTTGAGTCGTCACATGTTTGTAATCAGTAAACATTTAACCAGTCAATGATTGGCAGTCTTACCATGTTACTTCTGATCACTGAAAAGTGGCAAAACATAATTTTAACAAGGTATATTTTAACAACCTTCAGAAGTTACCTGTACAAGTTACCTGTATAAGTTACCTGTACAAGTTTCCTGTATAAGTTACCTGTACAAGTTTCCTGTATAAGTTACCTGTATAAGTTACCTGTACAAGTTTCCTGTACAAGTTACCTGTACAAGTTTCCTGTATAAGTTGCCTGTACAAGTTTCCTGTATAAGTTACCTGTAGAAATTGTTGACCAGTGTCACATTTTGTCTCATGGTGACAGTGCTTTAATTGAAAAATTTAATAACTTGGTAATATTATGTGGATTGCTGATTGGATTTTGTGTTTATGTTACATCTGTCTGTCCATCTGTCTATCCATCTGTCTGTCCATCTGTCTATCTGTCTGTCTTTGCCTCACATTTGTACAGATTTGTACAGTATTTGATTTCGGCCAAAATTGGTAAACAGGTGTTTAATACTAATACACAAGGGATACTGCTATAAAGATTGTAGATGAGCGGGGTTCACGGGGTTCACGCTGACTACAAGGATGTTATTTCCTCAGCTGTGATTGGTACATGGGGTCATTTGATAAACTCTGTACTTGAATGTTTGTGTCTTTCACAGAAATATCAAGAGGATGGTTAGAGTAGAACTATTTAATGGATTGGCACTGTTGTGGTCAGTAATGGTATGTTAATTTGACAGCTTGATACCTGTTATCTATACTGTGGTTGCCAGGTTTTTCTGTACGACGACTCGTTGCGAGTGCTAGCAAGCCTAGATATGATTTGTGATCACAGATTTACAATGTTTGTCGGGTATATTACCTTTTATTTAATTGTAAGTATGACTAATAAAAATTAGAAACGGAATTGTTCCCACTTGACTGTTTATAAGATGTGTAATAAATATTTACAGGTTTTGAAGTACCTATCAGAGTAAGATGACTAAATGTCATGTCACAATGTACCAATAATACTCCAAGCAGTCCTGTCCATGATTTATCACTCGTTATTCGTCAGAGATAACATGATTTTTATCGAAAAACAAATATTAAAGAGGTTACGTTTTCAAATATTTCAGCGGAACTGACAGAACTTACAGAGCCTCAATAAAAGTTCCCGATCTTATGTCCAGTTGCTGACATTTGGCAAAGAAGATTAGTAAAAAAATGGTTTACAGGATGTGTTTCTTCATTATAACCATGTCAGTTATACATTGTCGTAAAAACAGAGTTTAACATTATGAAATAAGAGAAAAATCCATAGTGACCAGGAAGTAAATTAGAACACATAGTATTATCTTGAAATCTATTAACACTACGTTTACTTAAATTTATTCTTCCAAAACATACAATCATATCAATGGTAAAAGCTTCCTTCTTGCCTAAAGAAAAACCCAAAAACTGTTTCTCTCAGAAGTTTATTAAAGGTATAATAGGCAGGATACATGTAGACAACAATATCCTACCGTGTACATGCACTATTTAGATATACAAATATAAACTTTGTTTATTTTACAACAATTGTAAAACAAAGTATTTTAACTTATACTAATCGCTCTTGTTGTCCCAGATGATAACGTGTGGGGGTCATTATGTGGGAGGAAACTGGAATACCCGGTAAAAAACCTGTGGTCGGGCAGGTGACCCCCATACCATTTCATGTCGGATTGGGAAATCAAACCCCAGCCACTTTTGTGAAAGGCAAATGCATTATCCAGTATCCACTGCGCCGCCCGACCACCCACTATTTTGATATGATTATATAACTTACATATCTTACTCTTAGTAGTGTTGTTTAGTAGGCGTTTCCTCTTAGATGTACATGTATACTAGATATGTCTAACATGTGTGCCACATATGAGGGACAAACTTAAGAACATGTGTTTGCAAAACATGAACTGACAATAGGAATTTAAAGTGGTAAAAATGCTAATTTCATGTATAATATTTTATAATTGTTTATAAAAACATTTGAGTAGTATGTTTACATATTTACTTACTCCTGTTGATGTCGGCCATTGTTTAGTTATTTTGACAAGGACACTTGCTGGGTACTTGAACACTTGATAGACTAGCACCACTTTCATCAGAATGAACCGTCATTTACTTACTGAAAACATAACCCAACCCTGTGTAAATATTGATTTATGTAATAAGTTGTTTGGATATTGTCGTGTACATACTCCCAGTCTATGATACTGGGATCTCCCGTCAAGAACCAGGGCACCCAACCCCGAGAGTCTGTACGTGTTTATGTGTAACACCAGGAAGACATTCCAATGACCTGTTATTGGTCCTGGTATATTGTTTACCTGCCTGACATACCTGTTCTACATTTTAAAGTGCTAATACACCCATTCAAATCTAAAGGATCGCAAACAAATTTATCAACTAAAACGTTTTGTTAAAATGTTTTAAATAGAACAGTTTAAGGACATCATTTTATACACTGACACCTAGATGACTTTAAGGACATCCTGAAGTGAAGTGAAACCTGACTTTACTGACACCTGACTTGAAGAACATTCTGTGATATACAGTTAAACCTGACTTAATTGACACCTGACTTTAAGGACATCCTGTAATACACTGAAACATGATTTTACTGACACAGGACTTTAAAGATTTCCTGTAATTACATGTAAGGTAAATTTCACGTTAATGACACCAGGTTGTACTGAAAGCTGACTTCACCTATAAGGACGTGCTGTAATACAGTGAAACCTGACTTAACTGACACCAGACTTTGAGGACATCCTGTAACATACAGTTAAACCTGACTTTTATGACACTCTATAATAAAGTAAAACCTGACTCCTGTAATATAGTGAAACATGACTTTACTAAGGATGTGCTGTAATACAGTGAAACATGACTTTACTGTCACCTCCCTTTACAGATATCCTGTATTATAGTGAAACCTGACTATACTGACACCTATTTTAGGATATCCTGTAATGCAGTGAAACATATAATTTATATACAACGTCCAGTAAAAAAAATACGTTTCTAGTTTTGGCCTATCTAGTTTAGAGTGAACAATTAGCCAGAAATCTGTGTGTTTGAAAATTTACATTTTGAATAGTGTGCCATAATCTCAGACTCTATTGCAGTTGGTGAAAACATTTGTCATTGATCTCTTTTTGAGTTATTCATGAAACTGTTTGACTCGACATAAATTACTAATCTAACTTGTCTTATGTCTATATATTTAAGTTAATGACCAACCCAGTGAGCCAGTTTTCCTCATGTCTATATATATGACCTCTGTTTTACCTCCACAATAAGCTAATGACCAACCCAGTGAGCCAGTTTTCCTCATGTCTATATATATGACCTCTGTTTGACCTCCACAATAAGCTAATGACCAACCTAGAAAGCCAGTTCTCCTCATGTCTATACATTTGACCTCTGTTTGACCTCCACAATAAGCTGATGACCAACCTAGTGAGCCAGTTCTCCTAATGTCTATATATTTGACCTCTGTTTGACCTCCACAATAAGCTGATGACCAACCTAGTGAGCCAGTTCTCCTCCTGTCTATATATTTGACCTCTGTTTGACCTCCACAGTAAGCTGATGACCAACCTAGTGAGCCAGTTCTCCTCATCCTTCGTGTTTTACTGGCCACGATTCTTCAACAAGCAGCCTCTTCAGTACCCTCCAGTGTTTGATGGTAGAGTGGTCCTCTACCCCTCAGACAAGAATCTCAAGGACTACCTCAGCTGGCGACAGGCTGATTGTAAGTTATGCTCAAGGTCAAGGTCATCACTTCAAGATCACCTAGACTTCATTGATTTTTCACCAAATATCTTGTCAAGAATAATTCCTCATGGTAGCTCCCCTGATAGGTAAAGTGATAGTATCTGCTAGGGTAAATTTCTATACCAAGACTCATGATATTGTCTTTTTAAAAAACCATCAAAACTCTTGAAGAGCATTTCTCAAATTCTGTAACTGCAGAGCTTTGATATTGATGAAATCTTTAGCATGACTGTTCCGTTTGTTTGTGATATTTTTGGAGAAACACGCCACAAAAATTAAAGTTGTACTTTTTATTTGTATGTCCAGGTCACATCAACAATCTGTATAACACATGTTTCTGGAAGTTGGTCCAGGAGAAAGGTCTGTCACCAGCGCAGTCACAGGAACGCCTCAAAGTAGGTCTCACTAGCCACTACACACATAGGTCAAACAAATATGTGCGCGGTCATAGAAACATCTTCATGTGTGTATCTAGGGACACTTCAATAAAAATGCCATGTGAATGTATGTACACAATCACAGAAGCTAGGTCATAGTGCAACGTCTTTATATGATCATAAGTTAGTTTCAAATTAGCTGCGGGAACCGTAGCTTCTAGGCCCGTGTTTTTTTGTGGTTTTTTTCACCGGTCCGATAACAAAAAGAAGAAGAAAAAAAAGGGAAAAAAAAGATTGGGCCTAGAAGCTACGGTCCCCGCAGCTAATTTCAAATGTAATATAAACCGCTTCATTCCTGAATGACCACTGTTGCAGCTGTCTTGAAATTATCTCTATATACATTTTTGGGAATTGAAAGTCCCACAAACTAGAATTTTCAATTGGCTATGCAGTTTGAAGTCATAAAAAGTACATGATACAAGGTAGTTACACATACTAGTAGTAATTAAAGCTTCTACATCATATTCTGAAATTATTGCAAATAAAATTTTATCATCAAGTTTAACAGAATTTGTAAAGTAAGTAGAGAATTACGTTAAGTCTGTGACCAGTTACATTTATTTGTTTTTCTGTCCCACAGGGTACACTATCCAGTGATAAAAACGAGCTGTTATTCTCCGACTTTGGTCTGAACTACAACAGTCTCCCAGAGCTCTACAGGAAAGGATCAGTGCTCATTAGGATGAAGGTAAAAATTGTTAAACAAAATAAGAATTGTATTCAGTAATCAGATTTGCAAGTAGGGAGACGTTACAGACATGATGCTGACCCATTATTTCTGGCTTATACACAGTCAGGTTATAGGCTTTGGGCGAGATACCATGAATGACCTGACTCCTACCTGTGACATGAACGACCTGTACAAACTACTGACTCCTACGTGTGACATGAACGACCTTTACAAACTACCGACTCCTACGTATGACATGAACGACCTGTACAAACTACCGACTCCTACGTGTGGCATGAACGACCTGTACAAACTACTGACTCCTACGTGTGACATGAACGACCTGTACAAACTAGAGACTCCTACGTGTGACATGAACGACCTGTACCAACTACCGACTCCTACGTGTGACATGAACGCCCTGTACAAACTACCGACTCCTACATGTGACATGAACGCCCTGTACAAACTACTGACTCCTACGTGTGACATGAACGACCTTTACAAACTACTGACTCCTGCGTGTGACATGAACGACCTGTACGAACTACCGACTCGTACGTGTGACATGAACGACCTGTACAAACTAGAGACTCCTACGTGTGACATGAACGACCTGTACAAACTACTGACTCCTGCGTGTGACATGAACGACCTGTACAAACTACCGACTCGTACGTGTGACATGAACGACCTGTACAAACTACCGACTCCTACGTGTGACATGAACGACCTGTACAAACTAGCGACTCCTACGTGTGACATGAACGACCTGTACAAACTACCGACTCCTACATGTGACATGAATGACCTGTACAAACTACTGACTCCTACGTGTGACATGAACGACCTGTACAAACTACCGACTCCTACGTGTGACATGAACGACCTGTACAAACTACTGACTCCTACGTGTGACATGAACAACCTGTACAAACTACCGACCCCTACGTGTGACATGAACGACCTGTACAAACTACTGACTCCTACGTGTGAAAAAGTCATCCCTCTGGTTGATTTGTGAAGCAAAAATGATTTCACTCAAAAAAAACTCACTAAAGTCAAATTCATTAAACCAAATGTTTAAGTAATTATAAGCTGCTTTTAAAAGATAGGTGTAAAAATAGTACTAAGTGTGAAAAGTTTGAGTCAAAGAAAGAACTTTGTGTTATGGAATAAACATATGCTCTGCTGTGTTACTGTCCTAATACACCAAAGCTGCCCTGTCTGTTAAGTATAGGTCATCAACATTGTCTGTAAGCAACACTCTAAGTCTGTCATAGAGGCCAACTGAAAGTCTGAATAATGCTGTAGAGTCATTATATAGCCGAGTCACAGAAGCTTAGTTATGTCTCATTTTCAATGTATAGCTGATACACAGTACAATATGTATATTATATTTGGGATATTTAGTTCATTCGTGTTTTGAAAAAACATAATTGTAATTTCCCCTTCCAGGAGACGGATGCTGAACAGCGCGGTGACAGGGAGTTACACAATGGGATGCGGACCTCTTCTGTGTCATTTGAGTCTCCTTCGGACCCTAGCAGCAAGCTCCCTCGTATCGCCACACTCCACTCAGACATTATCGGTGAAAAGTTCTGGCGGGAACACCCCGAAATACTAGATGGATAGTTGTAGTTGATAATTCTAGGTTTTATGAAATTTGTATGCCTTGCATTTGTTACGCAATTTTGAGGGGCGTGTCCGAGAGAGTGCCTGGATTCTGGATGTGAAGATTGAACATGTTTTACACGTATTTGGTGACAGGTGAACAACTCAATACAGTGTTTAGTGATAAGTGAATGGTGGGGATTTGAATGCAAAGAAGTGTTGTAGCTTGTACAGCAGAGGTCATTAGTTTTTCAATACCTCCGCTAGGAGTCGAACCTGGGACCTCTGGGTTACTAGTCTTACGCTCTACCGAAAGAGCTAAAGAGACATTCTCCCTAGCCGAGTCGGTAGGAAGCGGCTAGTATTTTACCAGGGTGACACTTGTAACAGCCTTTTTGTCCATTTGTAGTATTTTATGGGGAATACAAGAGGAAGACAACTGTCCAGTTTTAACAGACATTCTGTCGTGATTTAGTGACAGTCCATGTTCAGGAACCATCAATAAATGGTACAATAAGACTTCAACAAATCTCAGGAACCAATGTCTATAGATGGAATTTTGCAGTAGATACAAACATGGCTTCCTTGTAAATACTGATTTGTTATACTGTATGTGTATATATGTGTATACTGTTTGTATATTTGTGTAAACATGCTTTTCTCTATCGTTTATGCTAGGTAGATATATTTTTCCATGTTACACAGTTTGGCTCAGGTGCACCTATTTATTTACAGCATTAATACAGTGTGTTTATTTCAATCACATACAGGTATTAAACTATCTACATACTGATGAGCTGTATAGCTCAAAGTAATTAACAAGATGAACATACACTACGTTGGGTAAGGGTTAGGTCTCACTTTCTGCTGTGATTTTTAAAAATAAATCCTATTTGTTTCTTTGTTATTGAATTCACTTCAATCAGTATGATTTCAGATTTCCTATGGCCATTTAAGGATACCATTTTAGTTGCCAGAGTAAGAAAAATTGAAACTTTCATCTATTTCTTTTCTCACAAATCTATTCATCATCATTTGTGAAATATTTCTTAAAATTTGATACCATAACAATGAAAGAAGCCTCAGGTTAAATGCCTTTTTTTGTTTTTTATTGGGGGGGGGGGGGATAAGTTACATGCCAGGCTGAGGCAGTACACACCATGCTGAGGCAGTACACACCAGGATGAGGCGGTACACACCAAGCTGTGGCAGTACACACCAGGGTGTGGCAGTACACGCCAGGCTGAGGCAGTTCACACCAGGCTGAGGCAGTATACACCAGGCTGAGGCAGTATACACCAGGCTGAGGCAGTATACACCAGGCTGAGGCAGTAGACACCAGGCTGTGGCAGTACCTACCAGGCTGAGGCAGTACACACAAGGCTGAGGCAGTACACACAAGGCTGAGGCAGTACACACCATGCTGAGGCAGTACACACCATGCTGAGGCAGTACACACCATGCTGAGGCAGTACACACCAGGGTGAGGCAGTACATTCCAGGCTGAGGCAGTACACACAAGGCTGAGGCAGTACACACGAGGTTGAGGCATTTCACACCAGGCTGGGGCAGTACACCCCAGGCTGAGGCAGTACACACAAGGCTGAGGCAGTACACACCGGGCTGAGGCAGTACACACCGGGCTGAGGCAGTACACACCGGGCTGAGGCAGTACACACCATGCTGAGGCAGTACACACCATGCTGAGGCAGTACAAACCAGGCTGAGGCAGTACACACGAGGTTGAGGCATTTCACACCAGGCTGGGGCAGTACACACCAGGCTGCGGCAGTCCACACCAGGCTGAGGCAGTGCACACCAGGCTGAGGAAGTACACACCAGGATGAGGCAGTACACACCAGGCAGAAGCAGTACACACCAGGCTAAGGCAGTACAAAACAGGCTAAGGCAGTACAAAACAGGCTGTGGCAGTACACACAAGGCTGAGGCAGTACACACCGGGCTGAGGCAGTACACACCATGCTGAGGCAGTACACACCATGCTGAGGCAGTACACACCATGCTGAGGCAGTACAAACCAGGCTGAGGCAGTACACTCCAGTCTGTGGCAGTACACACCAGGATGAGGCGGTACACACCAAGCTGTGGCAGTACACACCAGGATGAGGCAGTACACACCAGGGTGAGGCAGTACACACCAGGGTGAGGCAGTACACACCAGGCTGTGGCAGGACACACCAGGCTGAGGCAGTGCACACCAGGCTGAGGAAGTACACACCAGGCTGAGGCAGTACACACCAGGCTGAGGCAGTACATGTAGGTGAAATCGTTTACGAACCTGGTACATTGTGACAGCTAAACATGTCTAATCTAGAAACTGGTATAAACCAGATCTTTAGAACGCCTCACTTCATACATTTCTGTGTATATGAGAGTTATGTATAAATGAAAACATGTTTATTTCTATAGTAAACGGTGGACCTGAAGGTGTTCTCTGTAAACAGTGTATAAATCCACGTTCTATACATTTATTTGAGACAGGTCCTACCAAAACCAATTGATACCTGAGACTGATATTGTTACCTGACACTGATGTTATTACCCGAGACTGATGCTGTTACCCGAGACTAATACTGTTACCTGAGACTGATGTTATTACCCGAGACTGATGCTGTTACCTGTTGTGAATATCAATTTGACTATATTACAATACTTAGTATACAGGTAACCAATCAATTATTTACGTACACAGCACCATACATAACTGTGTCATGTGTAATTATCCATTTATTGATTTGCTTTTTACCTTATTTCTAGAATGTCACTGTGATTATAGAGTTTTGGCTTAAAAACCATTTATCTGTGAAAGTAGCTTTTATATTTCTTCTTGTCAGCATTTAACTGAAAATCAATACTGGCTTCTGTATGTAATAATGTGAATGTACGGGTTAGGGTCGAACTTCATCCCTGATCATCCACACAAATGTCACTTCATAAAACATCGACCTGTTTACTTACCAGGTATATACATGTACAAAGTATATTTTCATATATCTGCAATATCATAAATGCAAAAAATAGCTATATTAATTAGGCTATCATGTTTGTATCGATATATAGTAGTGCATATTTGTGAAGTTTGGCGAAATTTGGGAAGATGAAAATATAGAAATAAACTGATTACTTTTAATTAATTTATCTACTACATGTGTATTGGGGTTCTGTAATATTTCACAGCCTGGTGTGGTATTTATTAAACCTTAGGGAAGGTCAACAGACCCATTTTGTGATAAGCTTAATACTGACACTTTAATCAATATGTAAACATTCCTGACTAAACAAGTTTAACTTCCATTGTCAGAGTACAGAACTCTTCATCCCGTTTAATACATTATGTCTGTATACATGTACTAGAACATAAACAGGGTCCTCCAACATCTAAGGTGTTAACAGGTACACACACTACTTGTTGATGGAGAAACTTTCTTCAAGTTTTCAACGACAAAAAAAAAATCTTGCTAAGAGTTAAAGGTTAGGAAGGTCTTCATAAGTATTTAACAAAGTTTTAATGGGGAATTTCATGGAATGAACTACTAACACAGAAGAAAATTCTTTCCATAAAATCATTTATGTCAGAGTGACTGTATACCAAATCAGAAAGTGATCAGCTTTTCAGATCAGAGGTAGTAATCCATCAACAATATCAAGATCCAGACACTGAATTTCTGACCGTAATATCATGTGTACATGTAATTGGGTCGATTTTAACTTTTAAAGAAAATCATATAGATATGTGTCCAGTAAGATGCTTTTTACAATATTTAATGGCATGTTTTAATATTAAATTGATGTTCATGAAAATGCACATTCATATAAGAATATGCATGTAAATACATCATTAAACATGTGATATGTCTGCGGGAATCCAAATTAACGTTAATGGTTCATATGTATTAGCCCTATAGTTTGAAACTCTTTTACTGACATGAACATTTTCTTGTGAAAAATCTTAAAAGAGTACAAATACAATGCAGCCAGACCGGGCCGGTATTCATGAAACAGTTCTTGTGCTCAAACTCAAATTCTGTGCTCAAGCCCAATATCTTGCTCCGGAAATTATAAATATAAATATATCATATTTTGTCAACGTTTTTTGGAAGAATTTGGAGAGTGTTCAAGACACATTCTGTTTTAAATGTCCACACGTGACTATCTGACCATATCACATGATATAAGAGAGTTACAAGAAAGTTGTTTTAAGCACAACATCTGTACTTGAGTATGAGAATGATTTCATGAATATGGGGCCCGGTCTTTTAACTCTAGACTTTTGATCACAACATGGTCACTTTACCGATCAGTGTCAGTACCTCGCCCCAGTCCCTCTATTTATGTACTCAAAACAAAATTTAGGGGAGGTTACTGTGTAGGTGGAAAACTACAAAGGACTTTCTGCAGTGGGACAGTGACCCTTAATAAAAAATATTGTTTACGATAATTTCTTACGAATCACTTATTCATCTCAAAGAAGGTTTTCAAGACCTTCAATCCTGTACACATACTGCGTGAGAATTATAGTGAGAGAGTGAGATAATTTTAGCTGTGAGCGAGTTATAATATACTGGACCCATGTATAGGTACTGTTCGGGTGGAGAGAGAAAGCGAGCGTACATGAGTTAAAGTATGAATAAATTACAATATACTCATCAATAAATGTTCACAAAATCAGATGTGTTGTTTTCGTGTTCCTTTAACGATTTCCAAGAGACCAAAGGCACATTACAACTACATGTACTTGTCAGTATGTTAAGTCGGGTTTGAAACAGAACTTGACGGATTGGTTGGACTGGATGGTTATCACATCCTTAGTGTATACCACGTTGATCTTTTCATCTATCAATTTTGATATAAACATATCTTATTTGCAAAAATACAAAAAGGATTACACACAAGTTAAAAAACGTCAAATTTGTCTTCTAGTCTGCCCCGGATCTCAGAAAATATGACTTGCATTGGCAAAATTTATTAATGCTCGACAGCCATCCTATTTGTAAAGTTTAATATATATCAAAACACGCTAGGGGGGCTGTCACCCCCTATTTGTTGAAAAAAACAATATTAAATAGGTCAAAAGGTCATTAGGTACATTTTAACTGTTTTATGGAAATATTAGAACATTGTTCCTATTTATCAGTTTCAAACCTCACAAAAAATATTGTTAACACCAACACTTTGTTTTGCTGGAATGATAACATGCAAAAGAGGTGACATAAAACTTTTATTTCAACAAAAAAGTAAAGTTATTGGTTATTGTAGCACTGAATTGCGCAATAGAAGGGACTGATCCGAACACAAGTGAATAAATCAAATAATTAAATGTAAAGGTTCGACCTAAAACACCTCTATCCACATCTATATAACACATACTTCAACATATACGACCAAAGATCCTCATTGATGCGATATTTGTTTTATATATGTACGGCTAATCACAAAAAATAATATCAGCAAACTATGGAATGCCCAAATATTTAGTCATCTTCATTCCCAACAGGATTGGCACATCCTGATGCCTCACATTTACATTCAAACATGCAAATCTGCCCAGACTTGTAACATTCGCATCATGATGTGCTGCATTTTGTAGTGCATCCACATGCAACCAACTGCAAACAGGAGACAGGTACCGAGGGTTTGCTCATCCAAACTGGTTTCAGTACACATGACTCTATAACCCAACAGCCTATAGTTGTTGGATCCTCTGGCTCGAAATCTGCATCAGCTGCTTTCCTCCAGATCATTGCTTGATAAGCTGCTCTCTTAACGTGTAACGCGAATGCATCTTTAGTTGGCGGAAGCAGCTCTAAAGACTTCCTGGCTTTTAAGAATAGTCGGTATCGGCAGACATCAATACTGGGTTCATGGGTTTCGGGATTGCA